CGGGGACCATCTCCAGGACCCGGCCCGGCGCCGCGCTTCTTCCTGCTGTCCAGCCGCGCGTAGCTCGCCGGACTTCAGTCTGACAGCTGCTCTGGCCTCCCGCCCCTAGACTCGCTCTCTTCGTTGGTTGGCAGATGAGAACGAGGTCCACGGATGATTGGCTATAAAGCCTGCTCATGAAGCTGCACTTTCCGCCTTTGCGCTCTAGCCCACTTTCTATTGGCCGAGAGAAGTGGAGCCAAGGGCTGATTGGCCTAAACTCTTAACAAGCAACTGCTGGCCCTCACCCCAGCACCGCCCCCGCGTTTCTCTGTATAGAGTCCACTCTCCAGGACCTGGTTGGCAGTGGGCAGGCCGGGGAGGATGGAGAAAGGGTGGCAGGCTGGCAAGGAGTTCTTCAGCTGCCAAAAGTCCTGGCCTGCAGCTCTTGCTTGGGTCAACGACCTCTTTCCTCAGCCAAAGGTAGCCGCTTCCTCCCCCACGCTTCCTGGGGGGAAAGTATTCGTCTAGCGCCCAGGTGGCCTTCGGCCCAGTTCCACCACTGCTTGCGCCCTCACAGTTGGCAGGTTCTGGGGCCGCGGCTTGATGCACCTCACCTGCAACGACATCAGCCAGACAGCCTGCTCTGAAGCCAGTTTCCCACGCCTTCTTTCCCATCTGCTGTGCATCCGCGACTGTGGACACCTTCCTTAACCTTTCAGCCTTATCTCTTAATGTGGGCACAATTGACAGTACCAACGCGCTAGGGTTGTTCAGCGTTAAATGAGTAATGTGCTTACTTAGCATACGCCTGTCCCACACTCGGCGTTCAATAAATGTTTGCGTTTATTGCATGTCTTGATTTGGTGTTCAAGGGCAGAAGGGAACCGAGCAAAGATCCTGCACGTCCAAAGAGAAAGCTGCACACCCGTAATCCAGCCTCGATAAATAGCGCTTAGCGCTAGAGTGCCCCGGAGGCCCAGCCTTTTGCTCTTCTAGCCACATCAACTCTGTGGTAGTGAACCATAGAGTGGCGGAAGTGGCTCGTTCCTTCCTCTTTTGATCCAACGGCTTGGCGAAGCTTCTGGGGACTTCTTTAGCGCGGGGAATTGTGGGATATCTGGGCGGCCCTAACACGGAGAAGAGAGGAGTAGCGGTTCCCTGAAGAAGTTGCCAAAATGATGGTGAGTATCGTCTCGCGCATCCATCGCCATCCACTGCAGTCTGGTCTGTGGTTGGCGCCGCCCAGCCGGGGCCTGCACGGTAGGACTCTCTTCAGTCGTTTGCCTCTGAGCTTGTTCCGACTCCCAGGCATGAGGGCGATGCCGGTCTGCCGCGGCCTGTTTCGGCCCGGCCATAGAGCAGGAGTCGTCCGTGATGGCTTTATGTGCTCCAGGACCCGGTCGGGCCTAGGACTACAGATCCCAGGGCGCTTGCAGACCGCGAACCCACGTCTCGGGCTCCTTTTTCGAGCTCTCCCAGAATCCGGACCTGTGTGAAATTAGTGCGGGTCAAACGTGCGTACACTGTCAGCAGCCGGAGTGGAAACCCCGGCCTGGAAAACCCGGCCTGGCTGAGGAAGTGCGGGATGTAAAAGGTTTGTGCTTCTACAACCCGCAGAGACAGCGTTAGGCCTAATGTTGCACAACTTCGCCGTCTTAATGTGGTTGCTTGCTGTCCTCTAGCCTGCCCGAGGTTGCGTGCATGGAAACAGTCTACACTTGTTCGTGAATTCATTCACTCACTTGCTCAGACAATAAATAAGTGAGTGTATAATGCCTTTTGAATGTACCAAGCCCAGCTGGTTTCTGAAGGTGCAGCCTCGCAGCCAGAAGAATGGGCAAGGCAGATGGGGACATATCAGGTGGAAAGACTAGGGCTCTGACTGTTGTTGACATTAGACAGGATTTTCTGGTTGGCTACCTAAATTTGGCTGTTTTCCAGAGAACTGTGTGTGTGCAAGCGATGTCGGTGTTGGAGCCTAAAAGTTTCTCTAACTCTTATCACCTTCCCCAGCCCCCCTACCCGCACGCTCCAAGAATCTCAGATACCTTCCGTGGGTCTCGATGCCTGGGTCATTACTAAATAGGGTCAGATTCTAAGGAGGTGTTGGATGGCAAAATCTTGTGCATTCGTGCTTCATTAAACTCATTTGGGGGGTAGGGGTTGAGATCGGGTTTTGCTATTTAGTTCAGGCTGGCCTTGATCTCGCTGTGTACCCCAGACTGGCCTCGGACTTGCGGCTGCCCTCTCCCCTCAGACTCTCAAGGGCTAGGATTACAGGCATGTGCCTCCGCACCCGGTTTATTTTGGTTTAATAATTCCTCTTTGTACTCTGTTCTTCTGCAGCTTATCCCTGTCCTAATAGATTTCATCTGTTAGGCGTTCCTTCTGCTACTACTGCCTTGTGAATCCAGCTTGTACTCGAGGTAGAAGAAACTTCTTCAGAAGCATTTATCTGTACTCCCTCTCCCCTTCCTACTCATGTTACTGCCCTTTTTCAGTTTCTGTGCAACATTGCCTATTTTTATTTTCTTTTTTTGTTGTTCTGTTTTTACTTTTTGAAACAAGGTCTCACTAGTAGTAAGGCCAGCAACTCCCTGTGTAGCCAGGCTGGCCTTGAACTTGTGATCTCTCTGTGTCAGCCTTCTGAGTGTTGGAATTACATGTGGGTGCCATCACACCAAGAAACATTACCTATTTTTCTTAGTCTCTGTGCCCAGGCAGTACAATATAATGTAGTTGTTAACATGTAGCAGTTAGATGAAGGATGCTGGAATCACAATGAATGATTGTGTACTGTGTTTATAATACAGTACTCTGCTATATATAGCTGTGTGACTTTGAGCATGTCATCTAATTTCTGGTGATACCAGACGAACAGATTTTTGACTCACAGATGATAGAAACAAGGCTGGGTAAAGTGTTGCAAGTATATGAGCTCCTGCAGAGAAAGCTTTATTAAGGGAAAGGGGCTTCAGCCAAACCAGGGCTTTGGTTAAAGGGAATCAGCAGTTGAAAAGAAGAGAGTAGCAGGTTTTTATTGGTTTCCTGGGGTGAGCTAAAGTCAAGTGATTTCTATTGGCCTGGAGCATGGTTCCAAAAGATGTTTCTTTTTGTGATGGACATGGACGGACCCCCTGGTGTTCAGTCAACTCCTAGATCCTCCTAGAGGCTATTGACTCTTTATCTGGCACCATTATCCTGTAACAAACATCCTAGCTTTGTAATTGATGGATGGGCTAACAGGCAGTCAACTTTGCTCAGGAACTGCAGTTACTCTTAGAGTTGGTATCATTGTTTTGCATAAATGTTCTTATGATAGGGCCGAAGGACTGGTAGTGCTTGAGACTGACAACAGAGAGCAGGGTAGAAATATGTAACAGCTTCAATGGGCAATAGGCCAAATCAACCTGGTATTATAGTAATAAAAAACATTTTTTTCCTTGTGTGTGTTCATACGCTTGTGTATGGTATACTGGGGATTGAAACAAACCTGTGCACTACATCCCCAGCCCTTTAAAAAAATTTTTTTTAATCAGGCCAGAGATTTAGCTCAGTGGTGCTTTGGCCCTCACAAGCGCAAGGTCCCTGGTAGCAAAAAAAACCCCAAAAAACAAAAACCTTTTTATTGGTACATTTTTGATATACATAATGATAACATTCATTCATCACAGTGAATTTGTACTTGTAGGTGATATATCTTGCTGCTCTTACACTTGATTTTAGCCAAAAGGCTGAGAAGCAATTTTTCTTCAAAGTTTTTGAAACAGTCTCCTAAGTTGTCTAGGCTGGGTTTGAGCTACTGCCTCAGCCTCCTAGAGTGCTGGAATTACAGGTATATGCCACTGTCCCTGGTTCGAAACATTTCTTAAATGATCAACATGTCCACCTGCAGAGTTAAGTAGAATCTGACTGAAGAGTTAAGAGAACAAAGGGGACAGACACATTATAGACAGATGCCACGCCTTTTATCCCACTTTAGTCATCTATCAGGTATCTGTAGGCCCAAGCAAAGATTCAGCATTCTCATCAAAAGCAGCTTTAAATTCTTGGGAAGTAACTCAGGCAGTTGGCCAGGGGTGCTATCTGTAGCAACTAACTATATGTTCCAACTATGTGAACCCTACAGTTAGTGACTTTAAATTGACTTGAGGAAGTGGAGGCAGGTGTGGTGGCACATGCCTGTAATCCCAGCACTAGGCAGGCTGAGGCAGGAGAATTGCTGTGAATTCAAGGCCAGACTGAACTACATGGCAAGAACCTGTCTCAGAAAAAAAAAGGAAGCGAAGCTAGAGGGCTTAGAGTCTCATATAAGGTCTGTTGAAATATGAAAGTGAATAGTTTATTTCTCCCAGGAGTTTATTTTGTTATTTCAGCATCCTGTCCTACTACTATCCCAGTGTAGTGGACCCTGTTTCATCCGTTTTTTATCTCAGAGGGAATAGCAATAAATATTGTTATATGAGATTAAATGAATTAAACATGTAAAGTGGCTAGCAAGTATTAAGCTTTCAGCAGGTATTAGCTAAGCAATTGGTTGCCTCCTTTTCTCCCTGTAATATGTCGTGCAGCCAAGGCTACTGTAAGAGCTTTCATTGGCTTTCAGACAACTGGAAATCAACCAAAGTTCTCTATGCTCTGGAAAAACCCATCACCCAAGGGATCCAGACCACCACACTTGAGTTTTACCTGAACTGATAATTGCTGTCAGACTGATTCATTTCCTTGCTGGGTATCTCTTGGAATGTGAATCTTCTATCACCAGGAGTTCTCTGTGTTGTTATGAAATTTGTCCCTGGTATTCTTGAAGCCTTCTATGATGGAAAGAGGTTAAAAGATCACCTGAAACAATCTTGTGACTTTGGGATAGCTTGGACATAATATATATCCCGGCCTTTGTGTGTGCTTTGGCATATACACACTGCCTTTTTTTTAGTCATAGTCTCAGTTTAGGCTGGAACTCACGCTGATCCTCCTGCCTCAACCTCCCAAGTGCTGAGATATATGAGGATGAAGAGGAAGATCATTAAACTGAAACTGCAAGGTCTTTTGTAACTTCCTTGGCAAAGTACTGAGGAGTAAATATGAGAGATTGAAAGTAATTTAGAGGGTAGAAGATGGGTTTGCCATAACAGTGCCTGCTGCTGGAGAACTAAGGAGAGAACCCATCGTCCTTGACCCAGCTTGGCTTATGCCAACTCTGCTGGCTCTTCTCTATAGGATTTCTCTTCCCCAATTTGCCATCTCTAGCTCCTACATATTATAGGGAACTTGAGGACTGTGTGGTCCAGCTGCTTTGCAATCCTGGCTTTGTGTTAAAGATTTTAGGAAATTTAGGGCCACTCTTCTGCCAATGTTTTTCAAAAAAAACAAAAACTAAAAAAGCTAGTGCTATCTTCTTTCATAGCTTATACATGCATTTCCAGGTAACAGTTGAATTTTCAGTACCAAAAGCTACTTAGTATTTCTTCATTTGTGGCCAAATTCTGGCTCTGTAAAAGTAATGTTATCTTCTTTACCCTTGGGAAGATGGGTGTTGATATAAAGGTGATAAGCCAGGGGAAACAGTTACGGGATTTCTGTTCCAGATGCCCTTGTTTACTGTTCTAGAGAGAAGTTTTGGAAGAATTGGGTCTTTGGATTGCTGGTTTGGTGTGAAGGAAATGGTTTTGGTAGAACTTACAGATGGGGGAACAGCTTGGAAGTAGAAGCAAGAATACATTTATAGAAGCAATGGATTTGTTAGCCCATTAAAAGGCAAAAGAACTTGTTGAGAGTGTTAAGAAAGGATTTGATTTAAGTTGGTTTTTAATTTTGAAGTGTAAGATTCCATCCAGGACAAGGGTAGAAACAGGAAACTTGAGGGTGCCCCAAGGAATGATTTAGCAGAAGCGAGAGAAGGTGAGATTTTTGGGAGACACGATTTTCCCTTACTGAAGACTCAGGATCTCTGAAGGGCCCAAAAGAATGCTGTTACCAGACCTAGACTTTCCAAGAAAACGAAAGAGTTTTCCCTCTAGTCCTGTATTTGATCCCATAGATAGCAATACTGACAAGAAGAAAGAAAGAAAAGCCACTGTATTTTTAAATTATTTTAATTTTAAATATTTTTAAATTTTTATTGCTACATGTTTTATTACAGTGTAATAATTACATTTCATCATGGAGAGTTGGTATATGTATATATCATGTCTTAATTCTTTTTTTTTTTGTAATTCCTTTCCCCTCCCTTGTATCCTTGGTCCTTGTCACTTGCAAAAAGTCTTGTTACAGTATCCCCCCACACACACCCCATGCTGGGGATCAAACTCAGGACCTTGCACTTGCAAGACAGGCAGTGATGCCACTGAGTGAAATCCTCAGCCCAACAGGTATTCTTTAAAAAGGCTTTTTGGGTAATGTATTAAATTACCCTCACTCTTTTTTTTTTTTTTTAACAGTACAGATTTTATTGGTACATTTTGGATTTTTTTTCCCCTAGTGCCAGGAGTCAAACTCTGGACCTTGTGCTTGGCAGGCATGGGACCACTGAGCTGAATCTCTGGCCCCCTGGTACATTTTAGATATGCATAATGCCAACACTCATCACAGGGAATCTGTACTTGTATATGATATATTTTGCTTTTTCTTTTTTTACATTCCCCTCCCCTCCCTTCAACCTCTTCCCCTCCTTATTTACAAAAGCTTTGTTTCCATTTTTTCTTTTTTCTTTTTTTTTTGTACCAGGGATCGAACCCAGGTCCTTGTGCTTGTGAGGCAGGCAGTGGAACCACTGAGCCAAATTCTCGCTCTCCCCTCTTCCCTCTTGTTCCCCTTCTCATTTGAACATTTTCTTCCTCAATTCCCACAATTACACATTTTGGTTCTTATTCACACTTGTGGTTTCTCACACCAGAGAAACAATGTGGTATTTAAACGTGTGCCTGATTTATTTTACTTAAGAGTATGGTCTCAAGGTGCACCCATTTACCTTGAAATGTCTCAAGCTTATCCTTTTTATGGCAGAGTAGTACTCCATTGTATTAAAAAAACATCTTTTTTATCCATTCATCAGTTGATGTATCCCCCTCTTGTTAGAGTTTCTTGGGTCATCTTTCCAGCCCCTGTTTATGCATTTACATATTTTATCTTGCCTTTTACCCATTTTCTGTAGTGGTTTTTGTTTGGTTTTAACATAAATCACAGCATGCCATTTCTCTGCTAAGAGCTTTTCCAGGGATGCCTTTCTTTCTAGGAATAAAAATCTAAACTTCTTGCCCTGGCCAGTCTCAGCTACGTGTGTTATCTACCCACTGCCTGCTTCTTGAGCTTTGTTCTAATCTCTTGCTTACTCCTCTTCAGGTATACTGGCCAGGAGGGTTGCATCTGTTAAGGAATTGCCCAGTTAATTTTTTTTTTTTTAATTTTTTTGGTACTGGGGATCGAACTCTGGACCTTGTGCTTGCAAGACAGGCAGCAGAACCACTGAGCTAAATCCCCGGCCTGAATTGCCCAGTTAATACAGTATCAGGTTCATGTGTCGTAGACTTTTTCTGGAATGTGAGTTCCTCCTTATTGTTAAGCTGGGACAGCCCTTTGCTGTCTTGTGTCTTTCTTCTTCCTTGCTCAGTAACTTAAGTACCCCTAGGGGTGGACAAGGTCAGTGGCCTTCGCACTTTTATTGCACTCCATAGTAAGAAATGCATTTGCGTCACAGCCACTAGCACATAACTGACAGTGTGTTGAATTGTATTTCCCCTTACTACATTTTGGTTCACACAAAATCAGTCAGACGTTGAAATATCAGGATAGTGCTTATCTCAGGTTTGGGCTTGGTTGCAGAATAGAGCTGTAGTTTGCTGTCTACTCTTCATGCTGCTGGTCATGAGAAGAAAGATATCTAAGGAGGACCTTAGAACAAACTTATTTCTTCCCAGAGTTTCTGAACCAGGTCTGCAATTGAAGCCCTTACAGGGTTAATGACTCTTTTGGAACCCAGAACAAAAGGGAAAGAGAAACATTACTGGAAAATCTGATTGAAATCAGTCACATAGAAGCTGTATGGAGCCAGCATGACAGATGGAAACATGGAATAAATAAGATGTGTTGTATTGCAAGGAAAGACGGTGCTGTTTGTTACTCTGTCTGCTTTCCTATACTCTAGCTGAAAGTCACTGCTAAGGCTACCTGCTGGACAGTCCAAAACAGCACCTCATGTTGTTAGCATCTTGTGCACTGTACCGGTGCCCCCTCTGCTTCTCTGAGATTGAGCTGTAGCACAAATAAGCAGATGTTTTGCTGGGGGTGAACCTTGAGCAGGGCCTGCTGCTTCCTCCTGGGCTGTGACCTAAACCTCAGTACTGAGAAAAAGGTCAGAAGTTGAAAAGGCTATGTTCATTGGGCTGGGAACTGGTGAACCCAAAATTTGTTTTTGTAGACTAGATCAATGCTTTACAAACCATTTTCTTGTCCTGCACACCTGCCAGGTAGGTTATAGTCTATTCTGGAATAGGGGTAGTTGGAGAACGGCTGTTGTGGACAGTGGAGATCGTGGTTTAGAAAGCTCCCCAGGTGGGCCAGGGATTTAGCTCAGTGGTGAGCAGTTTTCCTTCTCTTTCTCCCTTTGATTCTGATTGTAATAGGTTTTAAAAAAAATATGCATGTTTTTTATTTCTTATTAATTGTATTGGTACATTTTATTTTATTTATTTATTTTTGGTACCGGGGATTGAACTCGGGTCCTTGCACTTGCAAGGCAGGCCACCGAACCACTGAGCTAAATTCCTGGCCCTTATTGGTACATTTTAGATATATAATGATCACATTTATCATAGGGAATACATGCTATATCTTAATTCTTTATTTTTGTAATAGATTCTTAAATTTTTTTTAAATTTTATTAGTACATGTTGTAATAGATGATTATTAAAAGCAGTCCCTTGCACTTTCTTTTCTAGCCCACACCAGTTATATTATTGAAAGAGGGGACTGATAGCTCCCAAGGCATCCCACAGCTTGTGAGTAACATCAGTGCCTGCCAGGTGATTGCCGAGGCTGTAAGAACCACTTTGGGTCCCCGTGGCATGGACAAGCTTATTGTGGATGGCCGAGGTAAGTCTATAGGGTTCCTCAAGCATATGTGCAGGGGATAGGTATCTGAGGAGTGTTTGAGAATAGCAGGCTGACTCACAAATCTACCACTTGTAAGGTCTCTAAGGGATTCCTCACTAAAGCTGAGAGTATTAGCTTTTCATTGCTGGGTTAAAAATACCTGACATGCACATTTTATAGGAGAAAAGCTTTCTTTTCACTTATGGTTTTCAGAGGTTTCAGTCTATGCATGGTAAGGTGGCTCTAAGGCAGAAAAATCATGGTGGAGGAAAGCTGCGAAACTCATGGGGGACAGGAAGTAGAGAGTTTGGAAGAGGCCAGGGAACAGATAGAGTCCTGAGTTCACGGCCTAATGATCCACCCTGACACAGCCAGAAATGTGTTTTACCAGTCTAGATGTCTCTGAAACTAATCAGGCTGACAAAATTAACCATCACACTGAGCCCTTTCAGGAATATATGGGAGAACCTGGTCTTAGGATCCTGGTGCCTAGAAGAAAAATGGGGTTTAGAAATGTGAAATAGAACCAGCTGGAGTTCTCAGTAACATACGTTGCATCATGTTGCCAAGACAAGAAGAAAATTGCCCTTTTGTTTTTTATTTATTTTATTTTTTTTGTTTTTTGAGACAGGGTCTCACTATGTAGTTCAGACTGTCCTGGAATTCATTGTGTAGCCCAGGTTGGTCTCGAACTCACAGTGATCCTCCTGCCTCATCCTCCCGAGTACTGGGATTACAGGCGTGCGCCACCATGCCCGGCAGCCCTTTTGTTTTTTAGTCTACTAATTGATAATGTGATAAGAATATCTAGTTATTTATGTCATTTAAAACATTTTTCTGCTTCCGATTTAGTTGTACTAATTGGTGTTCAAAGAAAATCAGAAGCGCATGATCTTTAAAAGCTTGTGATTTAGCTTATTGTACACAGAGCTAACTCTATAAAATCAGATTAATCTTTACATTCCAACTCTGATCCCTTGTGTCTTATCTCAATGAAAAGTGGACTCCAAGTCCAGATAGAAGACAGAATTTTAAAAAGGTACTTCAGTTTTTTTTGTTGTTGTTTTTCTCTTAAGGCAAAGCAACAATTTCTAATGATGGGGCCACAATTTTGAAACTTCTTGATGTCGTCCATCCTGCAGCAAAGACTTTAGTGGACATTGCCAAATCCCAAGATGCTGAGGTAGGAAAATCCGTCATATGTATTTAAATGGTGGTTGAGATACATGCTGCTTTCTGCTGTATTTTAATTTCTTTATGTAAGAAATGTATGCTTGTAAAAATACTAGAAGTTAGTAATCTTTAAAAATGTATACTGTTCTATTACATACAGCTTTTTATATCCATTAACACATTTTATTGTTTGTTCTTTTTTGTTTTTGAGACAGGGTCTCACTGTGTAGTTGAGACTGCCCTGGAACTCACTATGTAGCCCAGGCTGGTCTTGAACTCACATCTATCCTCCTGCCTCAGCCTCTCAAGTGTTGGGATCACCATGCACACACAGCTCATTAACACATTTTATTGTTTGTTCTTTTTTGTTTTTGAGACAGGGTCTCACTGTGTAGTTGAGACTGCCCTGGAACTCACTATGTAGCCCAGGCTGGTCTTGAACTCACATCTATCCTCCTGCCTCAGCCTCTCAAGTGTTGGGATCACCATGCACACACAGCTCATTAACACATTTTAAATGGCAGTGGTCTTTGGGTCAAAAACCTAAAGACCAGGGACAGGGATTTAGCTCAGTGGTTCTGCTGCCTGCCTTGCGAGTGGAAGGTCCCTAGTTCAATTCCTGGTATCAAAAAAAAGAAAAAAACAAAAACAAAACCTAAAAACTAAATCTAGTTTAGATTTAGTTTTTAAATCTAGTTTAATCCAGTCCTGGGTGATGTTTATGAGTTGCTAAGTAAATAGTGTCTTAATCTGTTAATCACCTTGTAAAATGAGGCTGGAAACTGAAAACAGTCTTATGTTTTTTTGGGGGGATACTTAGGATTGAACTCAGGACCTTGTGCTTGACAGGCAGATACAGTGCCACTGAGCTATATCCCTAGCCCAGTCTTATCTTTTAAAGTGTGCATTTCAGTGGTATTAGCAATCTTTTTGTGTGTGCGCGCCAGGAATCAAATTCAGGACCTTTGCACTTGCCAGACAGGTGCAGCACCACTGAGCTAAATCCCTGGCCCCAAAATCATTTTTTGACATTGATGTTTTAATAATACAGTAAATGTCAAGAGAGACCAGTTTTTCATTTGTAGTACTACACATTATTTATAGGTATGTTCTAAAGTTATATTAAAAGTCTTAATAAGCTGGGCATGGTGGTGTGTGCCTGTAATCCCAGCACTTTGGAGGCTGAGGCAGGAGGATTTTAGAGTTTAATGCTAGCCTGAACTATATAGCAAAATTCTGTCTCCAAAAGAATCCCCCCGCATCAAACAAAACAAAAACAATAGTTTATCAGGACACAGTTTACACAACAGTATGGCTTATATAAAATTAAACTACAGGTCTGGACTTGATGTGTTAATATATTCAACAAGGGAATAATATCTTCCTGTCCAGAAATTTGACAGCTTCAACTCTTCTCTATAGTAACCCGTTTTTTCCCCTTGAGAATTTATCTTACACAATGAATATAAGTGAGTTAAAAATAAATTCCTAAAAGAAAAGAAAAACATTCCTTCCCAGTGAGAGCTTAGCCAGCTTTTTTTTTTTTTTTTGGTACCGGGGATCAAACTTGAGTCCTTTCGCTTGCTAGGCAGGTGGCGGAACACTAGCCAATTTTCTTAAAAGCTCTTGTTCTTAGTCTCCATTAAAAATAGGGTTTGGATACCATCACAGAAAAGCACCATCTAAGGAAGATTAGAATTCTAGTAATCTGTTTATTACGTATAATTTTTGAAATATAGGAACATTGGTTGGTCCTAGGAGTAGGATTTGGCTGAAAATTAGCCTTTTGTAAACTCCTGAAGTACTTCATGTTCCTTAAAGAGTGTTTATCTTGTGCTTTTTGTTATTGTGGTCATTTTTTCATGTAAGCTTTGTGTTATAAGAATAACAAGGACTGTCTTATTATAATGCCTTGTACATAGTAATGAAGGTCCTCAATTAATTCACGTTTGACTTGATATCTTGAGAACATTTGATTGTCTATTTAATAGAGAACAGGGCTTTTCTGGGGAATTAATCTTGTAGCCCAGGACTATTTGATAAGGTAGATGCGTAAGTACTGTCAGTTTGTATTTGTTGCAAAAAACCTGTATTTCCAGAAAAAGCTTGACACCCATTGAAAGAGTGCCCATTGTCATAGGTAGATTGCTTAAAAATGGAGTTCCAGAGTTTTGTTGCCTAAACATTAGAAAACATTTTCCGTCATCCTCTTCCAGGTTGGTGATGGTACCACCTCAGTGACCCTGCTGGCTGCAGAGTTTCTGAAGCAGGTGAAACCATACGTGGAGGAAGGTTTGCATCCTCAGATCATCATCCGAGCTTTCCGCACAGCCACACAGTTGGTATGAGAGTACTGGCTCACTTGGCCTTGTGTCTGGCATTTCAGATTTCTTTTAGTGAGGAGAATGTCTTGACAGTGGTGTGGAGAAACTGTGGAACAGGGTTATTTGGTCACTTCTGACTTCTCCGTAAGAATCTCATTTCTACTGTTTAGTTATTTAATAAGATAAAGCCTCAGGTTAGAGTCAGTTTGGTAGATTATGTATATAAAGCCTTTTAGTAAATTATAGTTATTTATTTGTGGCAGTTGGGGGCAATAAGGGCTTGGAGAGCTGTATGGTGTGAGGGTTAGAACCCAGTGCCTCACACTTGCTAGATACACATTCTACCATGAAGTATGTTTTGTTTTGTTTTTATTAAGTACTTCACAGCATCTCTTGGGATCTATTATTCACCCTCTTACCTTCATTTCATGATTTAAGATAAGTAATTTAATTCCTCTTAGCCTTACTTTTCCCTTTTACTATCTGTTTTGGGTTGTAACATTAACACTACTTCACCAGTGTGTCTTTGGCATGAGAGACTTACTCAGGTTCTGTTCGTGGCAGGCAATTAACAAGATCAAAGAGATTGCTGTGACGGTCAAGAAGCAAGATAAAGTGTAAGTTTTCAGTCCTTTGTCAGGACTTTGACTTCCTGTCACCAGATTGGATGCAAAGGAGCATGTTGCAGTCCCTGTATGGGTCTCCACCTATTTCGCTATTGTCAGACCCTTAGCTATAACCCAGCCAATAGAGTACAAGGGGGGCTGTTGAAAAACTGTCACATGTGATGTCTTTGACTATAGCCCCATCTGTCACTGATATTCTATCCTGAAGATACAGAAGGTGATGTTGGAAAGGGCTTTTAGTGGCTGGAAGGGAACAGCCTCTGTTGTAGTAGAATGAGGTAAGAGGGATTTGGTTTTCAAGACCTGATGGAGGTTCTGCCCTTGTGTCCCAGGGAGCAGAGGAAGCTGCTGGAAAAGTGTGCCATGACAGCTCTGAGCTCCAAGTTGATCTCCCACCAGAAAGCCTTCTTTGCTAAGATGGTGGTTGATGCCGTGATGATGCTTGATGATTTGCTGCAGCTTAAAATGATTGGAATCAAGAAGGTGCAGGGTGGAGCCCTAGAGGTAAACCAGTTGTGGGTTCTCTCCATAGCTTCTGCTTTCACATTGGCCCTTCAGACAGCTTGAAATGGGAGGAGGGCACATGGTCTACTGGTGCAGAGAAAATGCACATTGCAGAGAAGGTCAGACTTGAGAGCTGTACTTCCTCATACTGCTATTATAGGGTGTGACTGTAGATAACTATTGTAACCTCTGTACTCACAGAATTAAAAAATTGGACTGGTTGGTTGATTCTTCAGAATTTTGCTTGTCCATGTCAGTGCTTGTGGTAAGGCTAGTTCAGAAAAACTACAACCTTCCCAGTTAATGAATCTGAGAGGTATTTTTCAGTCCATTCTTCAGTCCCATTCTTCAGTCTGCATTCTGTGGTCAGGCTCCCCCTTCTGTTCATTTATCTTGGACAGATGATATGTAGTTGAAACCGTGTAAAAGTCCCCCTCCCCAGTGTAGCCACTATTACCAATTTGTGGATATGTATCCTAGAATTGCTAAATTCATGTACAAGCATGTAGGTACTGTTTTTAGACACAAATAATTGCTTATAATACTTAGTATTCTGTAAGTAGCTTTAGTCCATTTAATACCATGTTTTAGCAGTTGATTCATATCAGCATGTGTAGCTCTTAGCACTGTCCAATACGTCAGCATGGAACTTTATAAGTTGTCCAGTATGGACAGATATAACCCAATCTGCATATGCCACTTGAGCACCTGAAATGTATTTAATGCAACTGAGGCTGTATTTACTTTTATATATATATATTTTTTTTTAAATTATTTTTTTGGTTCTGGATATTGAACCCAGGGTCTTATGCATATTAGGTAAGTAACTATTTTGAGAATTCCATTCACTTTTAAAAATTTTTTAATTTGAGAGAGGGTTTTGCTAAGTTGCCTAGGCTTACGGAAAACTTGTGATCCTCTTGCCTTTCACCTTCCAAGTAGCTGAAATTAAGAAGTATGTGCCCCATGCCTGGATTAGAGCTAATAATCTATCTCATGAGAACACCAGGGACTCTTAAGCCCCCTTTGTATTTTTCCCTGATTGTCCCCCATTTGTTAGATGTATTTAAAACTTAACATAAAAGCTGACCCAGAATTCAATAAATGGTGGTAGTTATTATTTCTTACTGTTTTACCTACTAATTTACTATTTTTTTCTTTCTCTTTCTTCCCCTTTCTTGCCCTTTCTCTTCTCTCTTTTGCATTTGTGGCTGTGTGTGTGGTACTGGGAATTAAACCCAGGGAACACTGAAATACATCCCCAGCCCTTTTTAAATTTTTGAGACAGGGTTTTGTGATTTTTGTTATTTATTTTTTGTTTTTGACATGGGTTTGTTGTTGTTTTTGTTACTGTTGTTGCTTTTGGTACTGGAGATCAAACTCAGGACCTTGTGATTGCAAGCCAGCTCTGAGACAGAGTTTTGATAAGTTGCCTAGACTACCCTCAAACTTGGAATCCTTCTGCCTCAGCCTACTGAAAATATGAAAGTACAGGTGTGTGCTATCATGCTTAGCTAAGTATTTCTTTACTCATTCCCAGGACTATTGTTACCCTTTCTCCAATCTTGCATCCCCTAATTTCACTCTTTGTGTGGCAGGGTGAAGTTTCTCACTTATTTGTGTGAAGCCTTCTGGAAAAAGCCTACTGGATAGGCTTTAGCGTTAGCTTAGCTTATAAAGTCATAAGACCACCTCCTCTTCCTACCTTGCTCCTTACTGACTGGTCCCTGCCCTCTATATCTGGCAACTTCAGAAGACTTCATTTCCTATTCCACAACACTGATCCCCTCACCCACCCACCTTCCTTCCTTCCTTCCTCTTTCCTTCTCTTTTTTTCTTTCTTTCCTTCCTTCCTTCCTTCTTTCTTTTTTTGGTATTGGGATCAAACTTAGGTCTTTGTGCTTATGAGGCAGACAGTGGAACCACAGAGCTAAATCCCTGGCACACCTCTTTCTTTTTTGTTTGATTAATTTATGCCCATCCATCATGATTCAGCTTATTAACCCTTTTAGGGCACTAACTCAAATTGGATGCAGACACTGTTCATTGAGAGGCTACAAGATTGTAGGTGAGCACTGGCAAAGAAGCTAAAGGTCAGTGATTGCTGATTACTCTTCATGGAATGAGAGTTAAAGTAAGAAAGACAGCTGAGATTTGAAGCTGTCTCATGATAGGCTAAAGTCAGTTCTGAGTTCAGCCTTCTTTCATGCCTGTTACATCCATCTTACAGGAAGCTGTTACAGGACAAGCTATAGAAACTCAGATCTGTAGTGATTAATGTGTGAAAATCCATGATGACAACTGTAAAAAATTTCTGATTTATTTTCATTACTGGGATTGAACCCAAGATCTTCACACTGAGTTATATCCCCAGGTCTCTTGTTTATTTTAAAACAGGGTCTCACTAAGTTGCTGATTTGACAAGTAGGCTAGAACTTATAATTCTTCTGCCTTGGTCTTCCAGAGTTCTGTGCCACCAGACCAGGCTAGAATTTCTGGGGTTTTTCTTGTTTTGTTTTGTTTTAGTAGGTGTACAGTGCTGTTTTTTTTGTTTGTTTTGTTTTTTGGTTTTTTTTTAGTATGTATGCAGTGCTGTTTGTTTTAACAGTAGCAAGGTTTTATTAAAGGTAGGAAAGGAAACAGGCTCTGCGGAGTGAGCTTAGGCCTGGTAAAAGTAGGAAAAGTACAGCCTACAGCATGAGAGTGGGCCACTGTACAAGTCAGAACACAGTGGCCATATTAGTACTTAATGATGACATGATTATCTTCATCATGAGGAGTTGATACATGTATATAATGCTTTTTAATGCTTTTTTTTGGTACCGGGGATTGAACTTGGGTCCTTGCGCTTGCAAGGCAGGCCACCGAACCGCTGAGCTAATTCCCCGGCCCCTGCTTTTTAATTCTTTATGTCCCCTTCCCTCCCTTTTCTCTCACCTCCTTCCATCTTCTTGGTCTCTTTCCCATTTGCAAAATATCTTCTCTCCTCCTTTCTTATTATCTGTCTTTTATTTTGCTCTTTATTTAAACTTTGGGTTTCTCATAAGAGAGAAACCATGCGATATTTAAGCTTAGGTGTCTTATTTACTTCACTTAGTCCTGTGGTCTCAAGGTGCATCCATTTTCCTATGCCTCCTTTATTTATAGCAGAGTGTTACTCCATTGTGTATACATACCACATTTCTTTTTTCCATTTACCCATTTTCATTTATAGGCTGCTTTCATTATTTAGCTATTATAGATTGTGCTGCTATAAACATGGGTATGCATGTGTCACTGTAACATGATGTCTTCAACTCTTTTGGGAAGATACCCAGAAGGGGAGCAGCTGGGTCAAATGGAATTTGTAGTTGTTGGTTTTTGAGGAATCTCAATACTGATTTCCATAGTGGTTGCACAAGTTTACATTCACACCAGTAATGTAAAATGCCCTGCCTCCAGCTTCACCAGCATTTATTATTTGATTTTTTGATGATAGCCATTCTTTCCTGGAGTAAGATGGAATATTAGTATTATTTTAATTTACATTTTGTTAATTGCAAGAGATTTTGAACATTTTTCATGTATTAGCTTTTGTACTTTTTTGTGGGGGTAAAAGGGATCAAACTCAGGACGTTTTGCTTGTGAGGCAGGCATGGTGGCATTGCGCTATTTTATTTCTGAAAAGGGTATTCCTTTTGGTTGCCCAGTTTTTTGTTTTGTTTTGTTTTTCTGGTACTGGGAATTACCTGGCACCACTGAGCTAAATCTCTGGCCCTGTTACCCAGTTTTTGATTGGATCTTTTTGTTCTTTGGGGATTTGTTTGTTTGTTTGTTTCTTTACCGGGGATTGAACTTGCGACCTTGTGCTTGCGAGGCATGCGGTGGAACCACTGAGGTAAATCCCCAGCCCTCATTGGATCTTTTTGTGGAGGGTAACTTTTTGAGTTCTATATTCTAGATGTTAGACCTATATCCAAGAGGTACCTAGCAAAAAATTTTTCTAGTTTGCCTCTTCACTCTTATCAGAAGCTTTTTAATTTGACATAATTATATTTGTTGACTCTTGATGTTATTTCTTTAGCAATTAGGATTCTCTTCACAGTCTTTGCCTGTACCTATGTCTTTAAGAGTTTCACCTGTTGTATTTTTCAGCAAAGAAATTGATTCTTATGGCCTTTTCCCTTTGTCTTCTGGCTTTCCTTTTTTTTTTTTTTTTTTTTTTGGTACCGGGGATCGAACTCGGGTACTTGCACTTGCAAGGCAGGTGGCGATACCACTGAGCTAAATCTCCAGCCCTCTCTTTGTCTTCTGGAAAAAGGAAGCCTCTAGGCTACAATACTTATGCTGTGATATATATGATGTATATATGTATGTGTGTGTGTGTGTGTGTGTGTGTGTGTGTGTGTTTGTGTATTTGTGTGCATGCACTCAGTAGGAGAAAACTTGAGGACAGAAGAAAGAAAACATTGCATGGTTTCTGCCTTAACCATAACCACCTAGTCTATGGCTATACTTGGAACCTTAGCAGGGTCGGGCCTGTTTAGTATTTGAATGGGAAAGCATAACTGCCTGACCTTTTGCCTGTCACTCAATGTAAGTATAAGTGTTATCCATTGGCAGGTGTTTCAAAGGATAGTCCAAACAGATTTACCATATGGAATGATTTTGTTCACACTAAAGAGACAACTAATCCAGGTGTGGTAGCACATGCCTATAATCCCAGCACTGTGGAAGGAGGCTGAGTTGAGGCCAGCCTGGGCTACATAAGTGAGTTCAAGGCCAGCTTGAACTGCATAGTGAGACTCTGTCTCAGAAAAGGTGAGGAGAGGCAACTAAATTATTTTGTTACTTTTTTTTTTTTGAAAAGTCAATTTGTCCTAGCCTGGCATGGTAGTGGCACACTCCTGTAATCCCAGCACAAGTTTTTATCGATACATGTGTGCAGTATTTAATGATTACATTCTTCATGGAGAATTGGTATGTCTACATAACACATCTTAATTCTTTTTACATCCCTTTCCCTTCTGCCTGTGGCAAGAGGAGCATAAATTTGAGCCTAGCCTGAGCAATTTAGTGAGATCCTTTCTCAAAATAAAAAAGGGCTGGGGATATAGCTCAGTGTGAAGGCACTAGATATAATCCCCAATATTAAGGGAGAAAATAGATTTATCCCAAATTTTGTCATAATAGGAAGGCTTTGTTATACAAGTAAAATAAAAACTTGGGTTCAGAGGAATTGACAAGAACTACCTTTTGGGGGTTGGGGAGGCAGTGCTGAGAACCAGATTCAGGAACTCCTTGTGTCTCTCCAGCAGCACTGCTTGATCTTATTTCATGGTGGTAGCAAACCATTGAACTGTTTGTGCCTTTAACCAGGAGTCGCAGCTGGTGGCTGGTGTTGCATTCAAGAAGACTTTCTCTTATGCTGGGTTTGAAATGCAACCTAAAAAGTACAATAACCCCACAATCGCCTTATTAAATGTTGAACTCGAGCTGAAAGCTGAGAAGGACAATGCCGAAATCAGAGTCCATACAGTGGAGGTAGGTCCTCTAGCTGGTAGTGGCATAAAATGGGCAGCTCTCTGGGTCAGGGTCCCCAGTCTTCTTGGCTGTCTCAGGCCCAATTCTACTTTTTAGGCTCCTTGTGGGTCCCCTATCTTCCTGCTGCAACCCAAGTATTGGCTAAATACTAGGCCTACTAGTCTCATTCTGTGCTTTTTCTGACCTCAACTTGAGGCAATTTGGATATGGAAGACCTGTTTAAATACTTAACTATTCTCTAGACCACAGGATGGGGTTGGCAGAATTAGTCCAGCTACACAGTCGGCCTGGAATTTGGGCTCTCTTGCTTCGACAGGTGTGGGCTTCTCCCCTTCTTGACTGGGTCTCCTGCGTTTCTGTGCTCCTGTCATTGCTATTATCAAGGCTGCTTCTGGAGTTAATGGCACCCAGCCCACAGTGGCTTTTGGGGAGAGGTCTTATCATTGGGACGTTTGTTGGTATAGTACCTCAGAAGAGGCTAGAATTCCCCAGCAAGACTTTTTCATACCTCACAGTGCCAGTTCTAGTGTAGCTTGCTGGCCCAGATTATTTTCTGTTTTTGTGTTTGAAAGTATTAGGTGGTATTGGTTCTTTTTCAAGCATCCTTGTTCATTTGGACTGAGGAGTGACTATTTTGTTCACCCTTGTTAATTCTTACATAAGTCAGTATGTTTTATTATGGGAGGGTAATACTATAGCTAACCATATGTGCCAATGTCTATCCCAAAACATCCTTTCTTTTTCTGGGTCTCTTTAGGATTATCAGGCAATTGTTGATGCTGAGTGGAACATTCTCTATGACAAATTGGAGAAGATCTATAATTCTGGAGCCAAAGTTATCTTGTCCAAACTCCCTATTGGGGATGTGGCCACACAGTACTTCGCCGACCGGGACATGTTCTGTGCCGGCCGGGTACCTGAGGAGGATTTGAAGAGGACAATGATGGTAACCAAACTTGGACAGGCTGCTTCTCAAGCTTCTTAGCCCTGAAGGGTTTTCTTTTATATCTGATGTAATGGTATCTTTTTTTTTTTTTTTTTAAACCAGGAAGTGCCCCATTCTGAGTGTTTATATACCTAGTAATACAGCTGCTTTAAAGTTTGTCTAACTGCTTTATGAGAGAATCTAGTAGGAATCTGACTCTGATCATCCAAACAGGCTCAAAGTGTGTTGCTTCTAGCCAGATGTTTTCCCTTTCTTTAGCTAAAGTGAAAGGATTTCCTGTCTCCTTTTAACTAGGCCTGCTTGCTCTTTATGTGTTTTAGTTGTGTCCAGTTTTCTGCTCCTTCATCAGGGTGTGTGAAAAGGTGGCCTCAGGGTCAGGGGATAGGACAGGTTATCCAGTGCACAGTGTTCTGGGGGCTGGCACAGTCCACATGGCTTGGAGACTGGGTGACAGAAAGCCACCTAGCCTTTTTGTGAGCCTTCACTACTAGATGACCTTGTCTTCTTTCTCCTTAGGCCTGTGGAGGCTCAATCCAGACCAGTGTGAATGCTCTATCTGCAGATGTGCTGGGCCGCTGCCAGCTGTTTGAAGAGACCCAGATTGGAGGTGAAAGGTGAATGCATCTAGGCTGTTTGTGTACTGACCTCACAACGCCAGCCTGGGTCTGGCCTTCTCCCAGCTCCTGGGTGTGGTGTGCAGCTTGTATTGTGCCTTAAAGAAAATGCCTTTGTGGTTGAGATCAGGCAGCCTGGGTGAAGAATAAAAGAACAGCTGCTGAGTGTTTGGAGGGCATGGCAGGGAGGATAGACGCAACAAGATGGCAGCAGAAAGTTTATACATGTATGATTTCATTCTGGATGTAGGTACAATTTCTTCACTGGCTGCCCCAAGGCTAAGACTTGCACCTTCATCCTCCGCGGTGGTGCTGAGCAGTTTATGGAGGAGACAGAGAGGTCCCTACATGACGCCATCATGATCGTCAGAAGAGCCATCAAGGTACTGGTTGATGGTGGCCCTCTGCCCGCACAGCCCACTTTACCTTCCTAGCTGATTAGACCCTGAGCTTTGTGTGGTGATCCCTTCCCTGTGTAACCTACCTTTTTGGGGTGGTTTGGAGGATGCTGATTTGTTCCATAAATTGTAGAGAAATTGACCTTCAGCCTCAAAAATGGGTCATGCTGTCTTACAGGCTAAGACTTATTCTTGTTAGTAAATTGTGGATCCAACTATCCTGGTGATTATGCCAGTGTCTTCAAGCTACATGTGACCTTGATGGTTTACCAGCTTGAAGTTGGGATGTACTAGAAGGGCCATGTGTGATCTTCCAGGGCTCGGGATGAGGGAAGGAATGAGGTGTTCTCTTTCTGGGCCACAACCTACTGAGTGGCCCAGCTTGGATCTTGCACCTAGTGCCTTTTGCATTGAAAGGTGGTCTGGTTTCTGCAGAATGATTCAGTGGTGGCTGGTGGTGGGGCCATCGAGATGGAGCTCTCTAAGTACCTGCGGGATTACTCAAGGACTATTCCAGGAAAACAGCAGCTATTGATTGGGGCATATGCCAAGGCCTTGGAGATTATCCCACGTCAGCTATGTGACAATGCTGGCTTCGATGCCACAAACATCTTGAACAAACTGCGGGCTCGGCATGCCCAGGTGGGTGCTTCCTCTTGTCACAGTCCAGGGATGGGGTAGATGGCGCTAGACCCTCAGGATGTGCTGTGCTTATGCAGGGTGTGCACACTCAACCCTAGTGGTAGGCTGGAACAAAACCCAGTATAACTGGGTAATTGCCTTCTCTGTGATAAAAAGAAAGCTGAGATGCCAGCACTGGAAATAGCACCTCTTGGGAGAGACCCAGAGCTTTTTTGTGTGTGATTAGCATGTCCAGGGTTGAAAGGAAGTAGTTGGCAGGAGTCAGTTGAGAAGAGATTCCTGTGTGATCTTCCTCAACTTTCACAACTCCTGACAATCCCTGGTGTTGGGAAAGTATGTAAGAAGAAACTTGGGAGCCATTTCCTATTGCTCCTCCCCATTTTCCTGCTCTTTCAGGGAGGCATGTGGTATGGGGTGGACATCAACAATGAAGACATTGCTGACAACTTTGAAGCCTTCGTGTGGGAGCCTGCTATGGTGCGGATCAATGCCCTGACAGCAGCCTCTGAGGCTGCATGCCTTATCGTGTCTGTTGATGAGACTATCAAGAACCCTCGCTCCACCGTGGATGCTCCTCCAGCAGCCGGCCGGGGCCGGGGCCGGGGCCGCTTCCTTTGAGAGGTCCTACACATGACACTGGCTGGCAGCTGGCTGCAGGTGTGCTTGCCCTTCCTGGCTTGGTTCATTGGTGTTTTGAAGATGTGGTCACAATTGGCCTGCTCTGTTCTGGAGGTTATTTAAATAAAACTTAAGACTTAGACTTAGCTTTGTAAGTTATATGGGCACCATTGTTTTATTCACAATTTGGACTCTACGTGCACTCACGAAGAGGTATAAAAGAGAATTTTCTACTGGCCTGGGGTGAGTTCTTCTAGAGGGCCTCTACCTGGAGGTTTCACTGTGGTTGCATTCTTTATCCCAGAAGTGGCTAGGATATATGGAGTTACTTCCTTTTTTTCCTGGCATCTTATTTGTTTCCCAGGGCTTCTCTGATGTGAGATGTTGCATTATTTTATCTCCTTCTTCCATCTCCACATTCTCTTGCCTCAGAGTTTTTCCCATCAGACTTAGTATCTTGACGTCAAGGACTTTGGGAGGGATGTTTTGGTGAGGTCACATCCCTTCTCAAGTCTAATGACCTCATAAGTACATCGAGAAGGGGTCTGAAAGAGCATCTACCCAATGTTTTCTGTTCAGCCACCAGGGACCTTGTAGGTACATTCTGCTTCCATGTCAAAATTTGGAATGACTGGCACAGGAAACCAGTGGTAATCTGGCCACTTTAATTAAACTGGTCCTGAGAGTCTTGTAGCTAGAGCTGTTCTTAGAGTTCTTGGAGTTGGAGGCAGATGATGTCACCTTGAGTCACTGAATATCTGTTCTCTGCTATTTTTGTAGCACAAGCCCACTTTATAAAATGGGTAAGTCTAGGCTAGGCCATACTAGCAAATTGGTGTCCCCTAAGTAAAACCTAATTGGCTGGCCAGTGCCTTCTGAGATAGCCAAACCAGCACTGAGGTTGAGTATGGGAAATGCCTGCTGTTCTTGTGCTAGGTTTATCCTTGAAAGTGGCTTCTCCCAAGTGAGAGAAATAACTTGTGCCAAGGCTGGATGCACACTGAAAGCAGGTGGAGCTGTGGCAGTAATCTGGATGGCCTTCCTGCAACAGTCTTCACAGGCTTCTGGCAGGTCTTCCCAATTCTTTTTTTCTTTTTTAGTACCAGGGATCGAACTTGGGTCCTTGCGCTTGTGAAGCAGACACTGGAACCACTGAGCTAAAATCCCTGGCCCTCCAATTGTTTATTCACCCTATGGAATTAATCAGCTTTCTTCCTACCTCAGTGCACTTTTGTTTCAGAAAAGGCTGTGATTACAGAATGACATATATGTGGCCACATGATATTTACTTTCCCGGGGCAGATATACCAGTTTCACCATCTTTTATTGGATATAGAGCCATAAATTCTGTGATGCCCATGAGTCCTCTTTAAATACATACACACTCAGGTACGGTACATTCGGCAAAGGGCATCAGTAGGTAATGCGCAAAGTGCTGGGATGGCAATGCCTGGGTGGGGCAGAGAAGTGGGGCCAGGGAAGGCCCCCTGGGGGCTGGAGGTACAGGCACCACTTCAGAAATAAAAGTAAAACCAAAAGCTACTCTTCACCCCTCTGCCTCATGTGCTTGGGTGGGGAAAGTACCCTCTCATGGTCAGGCCCAGGGGCCAGTTGTGGAGGTCCCCACCAGCAGTGTCCTCTAGAGCAGGCCTGATCATCTCCAGCCTCTGCTTGATACAAGATTCCTACTGGCGTGGCAGAGGAGGCTTGACTCTGCAATGGGGCACCTGCCTGATTGTCAGGGCAGTCTTGGGACTGGCCGAGGTCCCAAGGTTGGGGAGGGAGGCCCTAGTGTTCTGATCTTCACCCAATCCTAACCTTATCCTCAGGCAAGGGCTGCAGATGAGCACACTTGTCCAGTAATAAATACATACACACAATACACAGCACTATATACAGAAATGCAGGCCTGGAACAAGGCTGGGTGAGAAAGCATAGCCACCAGGGGTAAAGAGAGAAGTGTCAGGCCCCTGGGAGAGGGAAGTTAACCAGGGCCTGGCAGGAGGGACAGACTCCGTAACTCCTCTGGGCACTTGGGCCATACCCCACTCACCATCTCTATTTCCACTCCATGTTTGCCAGGAACTGGGTCTTTGGCACCACTAGTCATTCTGGAAAGGTCTTCATCTTAGCATCTTAGAGGGATTGGGGCCTAGGGAGCTCCCCTCCTATCTCAAAATACTTGGGGCCAGGTAGAACTCAAAGGCAAAGGATAACAGCCAAACCTTGGAGCAGCAGGCTTTGGCAGCAGGAGGCCTCTTTTTATCCTTTTCTTTTTTGAAGCAATTCCTGAGGAACTGACTCAACCTCTGCATCACAGGATGAGGAAGACTGGAGTGGCTATGAGCTCTCCTTAGTCTCTCTCGGCCAATGAGTGGGGATTTAGGCAGGGGTTTGTGTGTGTGTGCATCTCTGCTTTCTGCCAGTGCTGGAGAAGCAGGCTGAATGAGGCATGAAGTACTCAAGCCAAACTATGTGCCAGGGCTGGGCTGAATGGTAGGACACCACTGGCCATCACTCATGGGACTGCTCCACAGACTTGGGCTCCCTGGTCAGGGCTTCCTTTAATTTGCCCTCTAAGTTTTTTTTTTTTTTTTCCTCCCTTTTTGCATCCTACTGGGTATGATATGAAGAAGAGCTCCCCTTCGAGTGGGTAAAGGTGGGAAGAGGTGCTTATAAATAAGCCAGGCTGTGTCCCAGTTCCCCATCCTGAGCTCTAGCTCTATGGTTGCCAAGGAAGTGAGTAAATGGAGCACCCTAGCAAGCAAAAGCTCCCACTCAGCAGCAGGGTGCCTCCACCTAGGGAGAGAGCAAATGAACAGCGCCAGGGTGGGTGCAGTGAAGCTGCTTTTTCTCATGGTGTACATGAAGACCAGTGTGCACAAGACTGCCAGCCTAGTGATGGGTGTACAAGAGAAGCTGGGACCTGGCATTTGTGTAGGCAACATGTACTCCCACATAGCCTTCGCTCATCTCCAGAAGGTAAAGGGAGAACTCGGTGGGTTTTGTGGAAGGAGGGAGACCTATGGGAGGCACAGTTGCACCTGGCAGAAGAGGGGTCTGTCTCCCTTTTACCTCTAGTGCTCTGAATGAATGAGTAAAGAGGCTAGCATCAGTCCTTTTAGCACCACATCTCCCCACTCCTGTTCAGTGCCTGTGACTTCTCTCCTCCTTTCCCAACACTGATACCAGGTATTCCAGTGAGTAAAACCCCAGGGAGGAACTGCCCAGTCTTGTATTCAGGCAACCAGATTCCCATAGTTGGGTAGGCTTAGGCCAAACAGGACATTCCTTTGTGCTTTGTCCAGGAAACAGGGAGGGCAACACCTCTAGTCCTGGGATCAGAGGGAGCAGGGGCCATAGGAGACAGGACAGACACACCCAGGTGCTGAGTGGATCTCCACCTTCCTTTCAGGGCACTGGAGGAGAGGAAAGTTGTGCTGTTCTTTCCTGTGATCACTGGGGGGTGGGGAGGTGGGAACTGATGGAGGCAGCCTTAGCAGGGCAGGGGTGCCACACAGCCAAGGCTTCATGTAAGACTGGAAGTTGCCAACAGGACACCCTTGGCATTTCAGGTCTTCAAAGGTCAGGGACAAAACAAGCCACAGGAAGTAGAGCAATGATGAAAAGTGCTAGGGGCACTGCTGAGCTCCAGAAGGCATAGCACTGGAGGACTTGTTACAAGGTAACCCAGAGCTGGGTTTTGATGTGCAAGCCAGGTTGTGGCAGACTTGGGTCCCTGGAGAAGACTGGGAAAGGAGAGGATCCCAACTCCTGCCAGGACCAGCAGCCTGTGGCTAGGGCTGGGACCTGATCTTGTACAGGAGCAAGGGAAATGAACCCTAAGATGGATTTAGTTTTGATGTTTGGTGTAACTGTCCAAACGAAGGTTGGCAGGACCCTCAGCCTCTAAGCCACTGTGGGAGTTCTGAGAACTCAGTCTTTGGAGCCTTGGTGCCAGAGCCTTGTCTTTTGGGCACTGTGCAAAGGGACCAAAGAAAAGCCCCATTGGCATTCTGTGGCTTCTAAGCCCCGAGGTAAAGTCTCCACTGCAGCCTCAACCCTTGGCTGGTGGAGATGACGAAGGGGCAGGTCCATTGAGGATGCTTTTCCTTGACCACAACCATATCTTCAGCAAGCTAACTAGACAAGCCAAACAAGCCACCTTCTAGGCCCCAGCTGAGTGGGCAACACAGTAACCCTCCTAGGCAGCCTTGGGGACCCAAAGGCCATGAATTCCTGCCCAAGCACCTGGATTAAGAAGGAAATGCCTTCTCTTTGCAGACAGGGCCTCCCAGGGCTGGGACCTAACCCTCCCTTAGATCCCTTAGGAATGAATGATAAGTATAGAAACATGCACCTCTTAGCTCTGAATTTAGCTCTGGTGTATGGTGGGGTATGTGGTACTTGGAACAGTCTTGTCTATAGCAGTAAGTTTCTCCCACTGGCAGTTGCCCTCACCCTTTGAGAGGTGTGATCTCATTCTGGGGAGAAATTCTGGGTGACTTTTTCCCCCACCCAAGCCCACCCCACTTGTAAACCCACCCCAGGCTTTAGCTGACCACAGTGCCTTAGGCCTGCTTGGTAACCCTGGAGAATGTGGACCCACAGCCTACGTGAGCTGTCTGAAGGGAGATCCACAGCAAACTGGGACAGTTAGGTGGAAGAGAGCCCTCCTTGCCAAGTCTGAGCTGCCTCATGGAGCCCCTCTGGACTGGGGCCTGGCAGAAGCCCTTGACCACAGGGCAGGGTCTCAGGAGGACAAGGCCTGCCCAAGCAGCTGAGGAGCCTCTGGGTTGTTATTGCAGATCCTCCAGGCGATGACACCAAGTGCTGGTGGTGACAGCTCCTCTGTGGCAGAAGCCTGCTCCAGCTGGGAATGGGGTTGGGGCTGGAAGGCAGCTTCTGTCCAAGCTCTTGCCCCTGGGAGGCAGTGCCCTCGGTCAGGCCTGTAGCTCCACTGTTCCAGAAGGACAGGATACTCAACCCTTCCCTGAAAGCTGGAGTAACACTAGGCCACTAAAGGTCTAGTCCAAACCAGGGTCCCTCTGGAGTCCAAAGAGCGCCATGGTATGGGGCTGGCAGGGGCCCTGCCGCCCCCAACCCGGGTTAGCAGCTGCCTTCCACCTTGATGTGCAGGATCTTAGAGAAGCCGGGCCTCCGACGCAGGGCCTGCAGATCAGACCCTGTGTTAGTTGTCTCAGAACCAGGCAGGTGGAGTCCTCCTGCCATGCTCCTATAGGTCACCAGCCCTAGCCTATGGATTTACTTGGGGTCTTGATGGCCTTTAAGCTAATCTCTTACCTGGAGTTTTGTCACCATATCCTCAAACAGCTTCTGGGCCTCAGGGCTGCTGGGCTCCTTGAAATAATCAGCAATTCCAATCTGGACCACAATAGACTTGAGGTTCCTGCAAATGCCTGGGAAAAGGTAGGTAACAGAGGCCAATGGTTGGCCTGGGTAATGGGGCTGCCTCTCCTCTCACTAATGAATGAAATCAGACCCTCACTGAGGAACAGTTGTATACTCGTCACCAGGAACATAAATGGTAAGCTTGTGCTGGCCAGGGCTCACAACTAGACAAAGGAGAAGGTGGACGATGGTACTCCAGGAGGATGAGTAGCTGACAGTCAACTACTGCTCAGAGGCTCTAGCAACTTGTCCAGCAGAGAGGACAGCTGTACTATGGCCTGGGCACTTGGAAATAACTTACAAGGAACAAAGGAAGATGGTGAGCAAACTGCCATGGGAGCACAGGAGGTAAGGGACTGGACATGGCTATAAAGTCAGGGCGGGGCAAGGTAGAGCAGGAAGGTAGGGGCTGAGGGGGCCTGGAACGCATGGTTTCAGAGGCTGATGAGTGCCTTCACCTGAGGGCATGCTGAAAGAGTGGAGCAGAGGGTCCTGAAGCTGATAAGATCTGGGCACAACGCCTCCAGGGGCCGCATGGTCATGGATGATGGTCTCATTTGGGCAGGAGCGGCCTAAGCTGAGCACCCATGTCCTCACTTTGAAGGCAGAGGAGTGACTGAAAATGAGTGGTATGAGGGAGGTGGGCAGACAGAGGAAGCATGATTTGGAGTCCAGGGAGAAAGAAGTCTTACCCCAAGAACTGTCCTGGGGGCTCACACACAGTATCACCTTTACGCTCCCAGCAGCTCCATCTTTAGAAGCGTGATGGCAAACCTATTGCACCTGTACCACAGTAAGCATGCAGCGCCCTCTCTGATGACATGAGTTATATGAGTTGTTTCTTCTAAACTAAAACCTCAGTATTCAGGTTTAATTGTGGGTTTTGGGTTGCAGTTTGGACACTCAGTCTCTAAAAGGTACTATTCTAGAAGATGGGAATACAGGACTCTGAGAGGTAATTTCCCTAAAGTCACACAGCCATTGAGGCACAGAGCCAGATTTGGAACCTGGGGAAGTTCTGCTCCAAAACCTCCTAACCTATCTGCCCCGGCTAGAGGCTCATGAGGCCACTGGTAGTGCACAGCACAACAGGTATCTGTGGAGCTACCTACACCAGATACCCACACTGGCCTCAGAAGCACAGGTGGCACAGCCAGGATAGAACCCTGGTCGGTGTACCCCCAACACTGGTGCTTGCTGATTAGGAGGGATAGGGAACTGGTTTTGCTACCTGCTGCAGGGCACAGTGATAGGTAACAGCCACACCCTGCCCTGCATTCCTCTATTACTCACTGTTGAAATGCAGCAGGGCCTTAGGGGTGACAGGGGTGGCTGTGAGCACCAGCATCTCCAGTCCCTTCAGGCCTTCTCGGCAGACCTCAGCTGCCACCTCCTGGGTGATCTCTGACACGTGGTCCAGCTCCAAGACCTGCAGCCGCATGCAGTTCCTTGCTGTAAAGAGGAAGAACAGAGGCCTTGCTAACAAACTCCAGGTCACCTCCTGCTTAGCACCCAGGGTCCCCTGCCACCACCCTTGAGCCTCAAGCCCATGTGGAATTTCACAAGGGAGAGTTGCACTCTTGCCTGGTTCTCATCACTCCCCATCCCAGTCCCAAGGAAAAACTCACCAAGTGATGCCAGGCCCTGCACCCCACAGCCGGCGCCCCCAACCCCCAGGGCCCGGAGGTGGGGCCAACAGCGACCAATCATCTGCAGGCAGCGGTTACTGAACCGGGTTGGCTGCTGGCTGGAGAATGGAGAAGGGGCCATCAGAGAGGCCTCTGGATGCCTAGTGTTCCAAATGTGCTCCTCCCTGGGGACCTTTCCTTGCCTCTGGCAAGGGTCACCAACAACCCAGCCAGGTAAGTCAGGAAACTGGAATTATCTCAGACTCTTCCCCCTTCACCTACTATATCCTGCAGCTTCTGATTCCTGATTAAATCCAAACTGCCACTGGCATTCATCTAGTTTACTACCAGTCTCCCTGCCAGTTAATGTTCCATGCTGCTGACATTTCCTATTCATTCCTATAGCCACCCAACAGCATCAATCGCTGATGGTTATCGTGTCTGCTGAGAACGGACACTGAGAACAACTGAGCCAGGCCTTCAGGGTGCAGTGGTAACAGTACAGACAGGGCCCCTGTCCTCAAAGCAGACAGTCTATTGTACAGAACATTAGCAATTGGATCTTAATCCCCTTTTAAAAAGCTAAAACCCGGCCGGGGATCTAGCTCAGTGGTTCTGACACCTGCTTCACAAGCACAAGGACCCGACTTCAATCCCTGGTACAAAACAAAAACAAACAAGAGCTAAAATCCCCCCAACAGCTTCCCAGTACTCTAGATAAAATGCAAAAACCTAGACCCCTTAGCAGGGGCCCTTCTTGGTCTTGCCCAGCCTTCCTCTCTCTGCTTGGTTGGCTTTGTCTGCCCCATGCCACACCAGACTTGCCCTTTTCCTGAATACCATCTCTCAATATTCATGCAGGTGGCAAACAACTCTTTGGCATCTGCCATGCATTTGATACCAGGAACACAGAAATGGACATTTAGATTCTGCTGACGATTGAGCAAATCTGATCTCAGCAGATCTGCTGAGAACTGTGATTACACTGTAGGAGACTGAAATGATTACAATAGCTGGGCATAGTGGCACACGCCTATGATCCCAGTGCTCCGGAGGCTGAGGCAGGAAGATCACCATGAGTTTAAGGTCAGCCTGGGCTACATAATGAATTCAAGGCCAGCCTGGACTGCATAGTGAGACCCTGTCTCAAAAAAAAAAAAAAAAAAGATTGCAAAATAGATGATAACAGGACTAGGTGTAGTGGGAGTTAAGGCAGGAGTGCTATGACAGATTCAACCAAGGTGTTAGTGAAGGCACACTGGGTAGCCTGGGAGAAGCTGACACATAGAAACAGGGCTTGAACAGCAAGGCAAAGGGAACAGGAAAGCATGGTGGTTTGAGGGGTTTAAAGTAAAGGATAACTTCACATCCTGGATTCTCCAATAACCAGCTCTTGTATATTAAACAGTGACCCTAAACCATCTGTCACATGTCAAATGAACCAGGGTTGTTTTTAAGCTAGTGTTTACTGAACATTTACTGTGGGCCCTGCAGGCTCTGGAGATATGATCTCATCGGAGTCAGCAACCACTCTGGTAAGGTTGGTAGGGACTTAATATCACCTTCACTTTCCAGCTGAGAAACTGAGACATGCTTGAGTTGTCCAGGGTGGTACTGTCTGTAAGCTAGGGTAGAACTCCAGGTCTGATTTCAAAGCCCTGCTCCTAATGCCTCAACACACAGATTATCAATGTGAGCAAGTCTGTCTCCTCAGCAGCTTGGACTCAGATCTGCTCACTCCTCAGTCCCAGACCAGGCCCAGCCATGCCCCCTCTCCACCCACCCGTGTGGGCTCACCAGGGGTGAAGTGGTGCCACCTGGAGGGAGACAATCTCTCTGCAGCCTGCGCCCAGGGCCCAAATGACCTCATGGCCCACGGGGTCTGTGGCACTCCTGTTGAAAAGAAAAAACTGGAGGGCCCCACTGTGGTGGCTTCTGCTCCTGCCAAGGGTTCCTTCCCGTGGGCTACAGAGCTCTTAGGTCCTTCTGCCTGAGAACCTGGGGGAAGGTCATGCAGTGTCTAGGGATCCTTGATGCCCAAGGTCAAGAGGATATGGGCTTGCTTCTGGCAGGGGGACCCACCTGTAGGTAACGGCCTGCAAGGCACGGCAGTAGCAGCTGGCCAGCCAGAGTGAACGGTCGGTGAGGATGTTGGGACAGTGGGAGATGCGCAGGATCAGCAGGTTCCCCCCTGCTGCCTTTAGCAAGGACTCCAGCCCTGCTTCAAGGCATCCTCTGGGGACAACCGAGAGGTCAAGGAGCTGCCTGTGATCCCCTCCTCCCCTGGGAAGCAACCCCACTTGGTTACATGTCTGTGGCCCAGGAACATCCACCCCATGCAGGCCTCACCGGGTACTGCGGGCATACTCCTCCTTGCTCTCCTTCTTCCCCCGCTGTCGGGGCTTAAGGTTCTGCAGTGTCAGTGAGTGGGCCTGGGTGCACCACTGAGCCAGCATTGCCAGGAACTGTGGCGAGATAGAGGGTTCTTGGAGAAAATGGGCCTGAACTTCGTTGGCTGGAGATGGATCACCCCCAAAGTAGAAGGTCCCGTGAAAGCACTTTTAGGGGGCCAGGCTGAAAGTAGGGTGCTATAAGTGTTGCCAGGTCCAGATTCTCCAGGGGAAAGGTGGCTTCCCAGCAGGGCAGGGGCAGGTACCTTGGAACAGACTCGGGCATTCTCGAGCAGCACCCTTGTCCAGACTGCTGGGTGGCGGGCCACAAAGCGCCAGTCCCGGCAGACCTCAGCAGCATGCAGCAGTGTCCGTGTGTCCAGGTAGGTGAAGATGCAGAACAGGGCAGCTCGCATCTTGAGAATCTCTGGGCTGATGACCTCATTGGAGCGTGAAGGGCTACCCCTCTCTGCTCGCCTGCCTCGCCCACTGCCTCCCTCAGGGCGGGCTGCAGAATACAGGAAATAAAAGGAGACAGTGGAGATTCAAAAGGCCAGTGAGCTGGGGTAGGATAGGAGATGCAGGAAGAATGGGTATGAGAAACCCATGCTGGGGACTAGTGCACTTGGAGGGAGGACAAGGGGCCTCTGCTTTCCCCTCCTCTATGGTACCCTGCCCCTAACTTTACAAATTAAGAAAAACTACTCCTTCTTCATGTAAACCTCTTAAAGGGTCACCCCTGACCCTAACCCTGGAGCCTCCTAATTACTCACAGATGTGAATGGCCTGAGTGCAGATGGGAGGGGCTCTGCCTTGCTGTGCCAGGGGCTTTGGAATCTGTAGTCTGCGCCCAGATACTCTCCTCTACATGTTACTGGGCCCGCCGTGTGCAATGACCCCATTAGAGGTGGGCCTGAGCACCCTGTGCCATTGCAGCCCTGTCAAAGTGGGGGTGAGCGAGTCGGGGGCAAGAGGAGAAGAGATGCAGGAGCCGTGGAAATTCACTGCCTCTGCCCTGTGTCACCTGAGCCTCGAGGCCCAGTGCTTTGGGGAAGGCAGCCTTTCTACCTACTCCAGGACTTACCTGAGAGCCTGCAGCTGCTCAGTGGCCCAGCCACAGCAGGCCCAGAACGAGGGACATCCGAAGGGCCCTCGGCCTCTGACTCAGTGGTTCGGGAGCCCACATCTGAGACATCCCCCTCTTCACCCTCAGTACTGTGTCGGCGGGGTCTGCGCTGCCAATTCTGGATGGCCTGGCGTCGTAGGCCTGAGCTGCGAGGGGGCTGGGACCGCTCTGAGCCACCATTGGTAGCCTGGGCCCGTGAGCCCAAAGCCCCAGGGCCACTGTCCTCAGGGGCCCCCTCCTCTTGCTGGGGCAGCTCCAGACTGTCACTGTCATAGCAGCCTGAGCTCTGTGATGCAGCTGGCACACGGCTGGAAGCCCTGGGGCAGGTGGACCCGATGGTGAGGGATGAGGAGCACCAGGCTGCCTGAGCTCCCCACCCTGCCCCTACCACCAGCCAAGGGCAACCCATCCACCCTGCCTCCCAACAGCTCCCTCTGAGTGTGGAAAGGCAGACAGGTGACCCGTGGAGGATGGGCACAGGAGAAGGCAAGCCCCCAATGGGCCCAAGGTTCTTTCCAGGGTAAGGGTGGATTGTGTGGGGCAGACCCGACCCAAGGCTTACCCTGTGCTGGGAGAGGAGCCATGCCGTGACACTGCATATGTGCTCGGCATGGCTGGGCCTGCGTGATGTTCTCGCTGTGGACCCCAGAGCAGGTGGGAAAGGAAGGGTAGGCAAAGGAGGCAAGATGATGTGCAGGCAATGTCAGGAGAAAGAGAGGATAAGATGGAGAGAAGAGAGGTAGGAGAGACAAGAAAGAAAAAAGTTGGGAAAGATGGACGAATGGACAGACAGACAGCCCAAACAGGCAGGTTCATCAGCCCTCTCCCCACGCCCACCCAGCACCCAGACCCGGGATTGTGGCTCCTGGGCTCTCAATTGCAGAGATGGGCAGAGGTGGACCTCTGAGTTCTGGGCTGCGGGACCACCCTTGCTATGGCTTCAGAGACTGTACTCCTGCCCAATCAGAGAGGCGTCCTGTTCCTGGACCTCTACTCTCAAGGGAAGAGCCAAAGAAGGGGAAGCATTCTGGGGTGGGGGGTGAGGCTGTATGTGAGTGCAGGCTGTGGGGGGCCAGGTGAGAGGCTGGAGTAGTGGGCACTCACCATTCTGCCTGGGCCCCGGGCCCCAGGCCCTGCACCACTGCCCCCACCTCCACGCCCCAGGCTGGCGCTGGGTGTGCTGCCACAGCTGCTGCTGATGACCTGTAGCTGGCGCTCAGCACGGTCAGCACGTTCCAGGAGCTCCTCGATGAACTGCTGCAGTCGCAGCTTGGCACTTGCCTCTCGCGCCGCTGTTTCCTTCAGGAACTGGTCGATCTGCACCACCTCCCTGGGCCCAGAGCAGTCTCTTACCCCGGGGCCTCAGCCTGGCTGTCCCCTACCCTCTGGAGGACAGTCTGGCTAGTGGGAAGACACAGGGCCCAGCTGCTAACGGCCACACAGAGCCTTGCAGGACAGACCTAGCACACAGCCCTATACAATGCCACACATAGAAATAAAAGTGCAATGAATCACACATTCATCCTCCACCTAGCCCTAAACACATATCTAGACATGACACTGGCTCTACACAGAAATACTTGGAGGCATATACAGTGCTACATACCACCACCTCCAGGCACACACAGAACCCATACCTTCATTCCATACCAGGACATGCTGGCTCACATGGGAACACAGAGACATACCCAGTTCCCTGTGGCCTCAACATACAACTATGTACACCTGTTAGCACACGTGACCCAATACAGAGTCCCCAGTGCAGCCCCACACATTCTTATACAAGTCCTCATCTCACCCTCATTCTCAGGCACACACTTTGTCTGAGACTTTGCACCCAAACTTGGAGGCACAGGCACACAGACACTCAGACACACACCCTTTAAGAAACATTCCAAAATACACTGTCATGTAGAGAAAGACTCAGAGGCAGAAGCAGAGTTTGCACCAACCATCAGGAGCTGCACCAACACACAGCACATCCATGTTCCATCAGTATGTTCTCCCAAAGGCATCCATGATTGTTCAAACATCTACTCAACACTTACTGAGCACCTTCTAGGTGTCAGGAACTGTCCTAGATATTGGGGAAACTTGAGTGAACAAAAATAGAAAATCCTCTGCCTTCACAGAGTTTATGTCGAAATGGAAACAGTTAAACACCTACATAGTTCATAAACCTACATCCTACAAGACCAGAGAAATGAGAAGCCAATAAAGACTGAAAATGAGCAGACAAAAAAGACAGAAGGAAATCCAGGGACAGCACCCTGGAAGCCTAGCAAAGAGGTGTTTAAGGATCAGCTGAGTCAAATGCTGATGGGCTAAGATGAAGACTTGGCCTCACCAACACGAAGTGACCTGAGGACAGAGGTGGAGGTGGAAACCTGACCAGAGTGGGTTCTAGAGGTAACCTGATGAGAGAAATTGGAGACTAGGGGTACAAGAACTACTTTCAAGGAGTTTTTTCTGAGGAGGAGAGAGGAAAGGGAAGCAGCTTATGGGGAAGTGGAGTTACTGTGGCTGAGAGAAATGACAGTACGTCTTCATGCTTTCAGGAATTATTAGGGAGACAAGGAAAATCTGATAAAGGAAACAAGAGAGGGGAAAATTGGGCTATCTTTAAGTAGACAAAAGAGAAGAAGATTTGGTGCCCAAGTGCAGGTGCTGGCCTTGGCTGGGACAGAGAAGGTCAAGAAACAGGCAGTCAGCAGGACATGGTGTGGCTCACACTTGTAATCCCATCACCCTAGGAGGCTGAGGCAGGAGAATCAAAATAAAGAATAAAAAAGGCCCAAGGGTGCATCAGAGTGTCAAATGGAGGCCCTGGGCTCAATCCCGAGTAAAAAAAAAAAAAAAAAAAAAAAAAAAAAAAAAAAAAAAAGGAATATTTTAAATTGTATTTAAGCCAGGCACAGTGTCACAAGCCTGTAATACCCAGCACTCTGGGAAGCGGGCAGGAGGACTGAAAATTTGAGCTCAACCAGGACAATTTAGCAACTCGGTAAGACCTTATTTCAAGAGTGGGGGAGACTGGGGTTGTGGCTCAGTGTGAAGGCCCCCTGTTCAATCCCTAGTAACAACAAAAACAAGGCAGTCGTCACAGCCAAGGATGTGGTTCCAAACACACACTATGATGACACTCTTGGATCCCCAGGAATCACCATTCCATGCTCATCACCACAGATCCCATACCACAAAGCCATGGCCACATGCAGACATTCAGGGTGGAGGCGCTGGTAAGGTGACACAGGGACACACTGCGACAGGCCCTGAAGGTCTACTCACTGCTGCTTGCGGCTCAGCTCCTGCTCCTTGTGCACCAGGTCCTGCTTGAGCGAGGCCAGCAGCTCCACGCTCACGTCCACCTGGCGTGAGAGCTCAGATGCGCGTTCCTCTAGCTCCTCCTTCTCGCGCCCCAGCTGCGCGCTCTCCTGCCGAGCTGTCTCCAGCTCCGCAGCCTTGCGCTCCAGTTCAGCCTGCAGCCGCCCCACCTGGCCAGCGATTTTCTGCTCCACCTCCTCACT